TTGATTTTTGAATAGTGATTTGATGGGAAATGTGTGGTTGAAAAAGAAGAAAAAAGTATTGATGTGATGGAAAATATTATTTTATTGAAGAATGTGTGGTTGAAAATGAGAATTGATTTACTGTAGAAAAGGAGAATCTGTACCAAACAGGCCCTTAATGAAGTTTTATTTTGTTTTGTATCGATCACAGATAAAGGTTCCACCGATTTATTTTACATTTTTCTTACGCGACAAATCACTTTTATTATGTGACCTCATTTTTGTATTCGCTTATTCTATTAATTGTTGGAATGGGAATTTTAACTCTATTTTGTAAATAGGACCTTTCAATTTGAAAGCCATTGTTACTGCATAACTGGACAACCAAAAAAATCCTATTATCTACTGTTAAAAATCGCAATGAGGAAGTTGAAAAGGGCCTCTTGAAAATTATAAAGGGACAGAACAATCCCATCAAAATTGACTAAATTATGGGCATTTGCATTGGTTGCTAATTCAGACATTCCAAAAGAAAACAAAGTTCAAATTACATCAGAAAGTTACAGGTTGAAACAATGACTATGTCTTGGGATTGAACATTACTGTCATCTTCTTCGTGTTCTTCCTCTCGATTCACATGTTCGACCTCTTCAACAGCATGAAGACGAGTCTCTGTCTTTTCCTGTCTATCTACCATAGTGTTAAATCCTTGGTGAATTTGGCCACTAGTTGGGTGGTCAGAATGTCATGCCTCTGTTTGGACTTTTCAGAAAAGGTTGCAAAGTTTTTAGTATGGTGAATACAACGGTTGAAATAGTATCTCGATGATTTGTGGGTGTTTGGTGGGATTAAAATTAGATTTGTAGTAGATTGTGATAGAAATTTTTGAAATATGTTGTTGAAAAGTTGTGGGACCCATGAAAGATGGGGTTAATATTGATTGTTTGACTTTAACTTAGATTCTGATTTTAGGCTGTGTCTGGGAACACTTTTTCAAACCAATTAAAATCATTTTTATAGCCGTTAACAGCAAACCAGCAGCAATAATTGACTGCTCCACTCACAGTTGGGGCCCATAAATTGATTGCAACGGTCCAATTTTTCTATTGCAACGGTTAGAATTACAATTAAAATTCTAACCAGACACACGCTTAATCCGAAACAAACAGGAATGGCTGAAGAATATCAGATGCTGACTGCTGAGGATGGTTGTCTCGTGAAGTTGAGGCTTTTGGTAAAGCATTAGATTTTCTGGTACGAGAGAGACTTTTGCTTCGACAGCCGTTTGATCCAATGCCTCTAATTGTGTGAATAAAAAACTGTTGGGTTTGTCTCTTGGCCACCAAACTTTCAAATTGTGTAACTTTAGACATCAATTTTTTTTATTTTTTTTTAGCATAGATGGTCAATAAACCTAGAAATTTGTTCAGTTATATTACCATTCACATTTCACACATCCATCAGTCCATCTTCAACCATAAGCATCAAATTGGTGCAACTTTCACACTATTTTACAAAGTTATCTCCAACAATTACACCAAATGAACAACGTTTCCTTTATTTCCATATTTTTAAATTCTCAACGATTAATTTATTTCAGAATTACTTAATTATAAATTATATTAATACTAAAATAAGATTTAATTAATCGAAATATTGCATTTATTAATATATTAAAAAAAACATTACACTTAACACCATAATTTTAAAAAATACAATTTACTATGTTATACTCAAATT